GAGTGCCGCGAAGATGTATCAGGATTTGAGGCAACACTATTGGTGGAGGCGGATGAAGAAGGATATAGTTGGATTTGTAGCTCGGTGCCTCAACTGTCAGCAGGTGAAGTATGAGCACCCGAAACCGGGTGGGTTGCTTCAGCAGATAGAGATTCCAGAGTGGAAGTGGGAGCGAATCACCATGGACTTTGTAGTTGGTCTCCCACGGACTTTGACAAAATTCGATGTTATTTGGGTGATTGTGGATCGACTGACCAAGTCCACGCACTTCATTCCTGTGTGTACTACCTATTCTTCGGAGCGCCTAACAGAGGTCTATATCCGAGAGATTGTTCATCTACATGGTATTCTAGTTTCCATCATTTCAGATAGGGGTACTCAGTTTACATCATGATTCTGGAGAGCCGTTCAGTATGAGTTAGGTACTCGGGTGGAGTTGAGTACAACATTTCACCCTCAGACGGACGGACAGTCCTATCGCACTATTCAGATTCTTGAGGATATGCTCCGTGCGTGTGTGATTGAGTTTGGAGGGTCTTGGGATCAGTTCTTGCCATTGACGGAGTTTGCCTACAACAATAGTTATCAGTCCAGCATTCAGATGGCACCGTATGAGGCTTTATATGGGAGGTGGTGTAGATCCTCGGTGGGTTGGTTTGAGCCGGGTGAGGCTAGATTGTTGGGTACAGACTTGGTTCAGGATGCTTTGGAGAATGTTAAGGTGATTCAGGATAGACTCTGTACAGCCCAGTCCAGACAGAAGAGTTACACGGATCGGAAGTTTCGTGATGTTTCCTACATGGTTGGAGAGTGGGTTCTGCTTCAGGTTTCGCCTATGAAGAGCGTTATGAGATTTGGGAAGATAGGGAAGTTGAGTCCGAGGTTTATTGGACTTTTTGAGATATTGAGGCGTGTTGGGGAGGTTGCTTATAAGCTTACCTTACCTCCCAGCTTGGCAGGAGTTCATCCGGTATTTTATATTTTGATGCTCCGGAGGTATCACGGTGATCCGTCGCACGTGTTGGATTTCAGTTCAGTCCAGTTGGACAAGGATCTATCCTATGTTGAGGAGCTAGTGGCAATATTGGACAAGCAAGTTAGAAAGCTGAGGTCAAAGAACATTGCATCAGTAAAGGTT